CCGTGGGATGCGGCAGGAATTCTGGGAATTGTTCATCCGGGATGGATTCTGCGGGATTTATGGGATTGCAGCTGGAATTTCATGGGAATCAACACAAATGGATTTTTCCTGGTGTCGTTCCCAGATTAGAGCTCAGCTCTTGTCCCTGGAATTGTCCAGGTTGGATGGGGCTGGGAGAAAACTGGGATTGGGGCTGGGATCCCTCTAATGCTGGAATTAATATTCTATTAATATTCTACTACTACTACTACTACTACTATTATTATTATTATTATTATTATTATTATTATTATTATTATTATTATTATTATTATTATTATTAAATATAAAATATATAAATATATAAATATATACATATATATTATTAATTTTAATAAATTTCAATAATAATTATTATTAATAATAACATATAAATACATATATGTTAATATAGAATACATATTAGTATATTAATATATATTAATATAGTGGTTATCATAATAGATTATTAAATAATATATTGCATAATACCATTATATCAATATTAATATATAAATGTTATATTAATAAATATTAATTAATTAATTAATAGATCATGTATATTATATATTATACATTCTATATATTATCAGTGATATATTTATCTATAATATTAATTAATATGTATTATATTAATTAATATATATATTAATATTTACCATTAATGTTAGTCTAAATAATAATATTATAAATAATAAAATATAAACAATAATAGTGTAAATATTAGGATTCATAGTAATATTAAAATTAGTATTGATATCAGCATCAGTATTAATATGAATATAGATATTAATAGTACTAGTAATATTAATATTAATATTGCTATAAACAGAAATATTAGTATTAATCCTGATATAGTGATATAAATATAAATATTAGAATTAATATTAATATTAGAATTAAGATTAAGATTAAGATTAATAATATTAATATTAAAATTAAGATTACTATTGCTATTGATGTTGATATTGACATTAATGTTAATTAATAGATTTGCATTCCCTAAAAACCTCTACCAGCTCCTGGCCTCTCCTGTTTCCAACTCCAGAGGATTTATATTTTTTTTCCTAGCTTTTTCAATTATTATTTCCCAGGAAAGGAGCTCTCTTAATCCATGTGATTTTCCACCACTTTCCCAAATTTCCTTGGGAAATTTCCCAATTTCCAAAGAAATTTCCCAATTTCTGCTGAGGTTTTTCTCAGGATTTCTTTCCCTTTTCCCCTTTCCCTCACACGGACACAGAAACAAAGACACGGAAAATCCCATTTTTTACTGCAAAAACTCCAGGACCGAGATGTTTTTATTAGAACAACTTCCAGTTTTCCTTTGGGGAAGATTTCTCCTTTTTTCCTAGGAAAATTATTGGGATGGGAAGGAATCCTCATGGAGAAAAGACGGATTTGAGCAAATTTTGCTTTAATTTGGGGTTTTTTTTTTGCTTTTTTATCTTTAATTTTCCATCATCCAAAGCAGGGAAAAAAAACCATCAGCGAGGTTTTGTTTGTTGCTAATTCCTGGGAATTCCACAGGTTTTCCCTAAGAATGAAGGATATTCCTGGGATTTTTACACTGGTGTCCCATAAACACAGGGAAAAGGTGAAGTTTGGGATGGGAAAAGGGATTTTTTTTATCGATTTATTCATGAAAAGAATTCCTCCCTTTACCTTAGTTTTGTATTTCTGTTTATATCCTTCATCCTAAAGAAATACCCAGGGATTCCCAGTTCACATTCCAGTTTTTTCCGCCGGGTCTCCACAGGATCCACCCTTTTCCCACGGAGGAACAAAGTGAGCTAAACAAAAATATCCAAATATTTTTTGGGATTTAGGCACATTTCAGAGCTCTGGAATGGGAATCGGGGCTGAAAAACAAGGAGAAATTCCAGCAGGTGGAAATCCAGCCGGTATCCGGAATTCTCGCTGCTTATCTTGTCCTGGAAGATAAAGATATTTTTAAGAATTCGAGGAATGCTTATCTTGTCCTGGAAGATAAAGATATTTTTAAGAATTCGAGGAAAAAAGAAAGAACAAACAATTCCCCCGGGAATCATCCTCATCAACAACGAGAGCTGCCAAAACACCGGGAATCATCCCAAAATCCCAGCAACGGAGAAAACACGGGAAGCAGTCCCTGACACCTGGATCCAATCCAGGTCAGAAAATTCCCTATAAAATATTCCCAATTCCCTCAGGAAATCAGGAGGAAAGGGCCAGTTTCATCCCGGTACAGAGACTCGGCTTTTCCGTTCCCTCCATCCCATGGGAATGGCCAAGAGACGAAGCCATTCCCGAATTTTTGGGCTCAGTTCCAGATTCCCACCGAGTTCAAATCCTGTGGCAAAGGACCTTTGCTCCTTCCAGGATGGAGATCCCATTCCGTTTGTCTTTCCCGAAATATTCCAAGCCCCACGGCAGGGGTGGAAGGGCCCCCAGTGGATGATGCCACCCAAACTCATCGGCAAATCCCAGGAATGTTGGATTCCTGGGAATCACAAACTTCCATCTTCACCTTTCCAAACCCATTAAAAATCAATTTGCTTCCCAATCCTATTCCCAGTTTTCCAACTTCCCGGTTTTCCGCGCTCGTTTGTCTTCTCTGGTGGCAAACATCGGTTCCCATCGGAACGGGAATTTTCCATCAGTGGGTTTGGATTAAGGATGGAAAATATCCCGAAACAAGAGGCATGAATGATGAATTTGGATTACTTTGGTATCAAGAACTGGGAACCGGTTGGAAAATTCCAGGTTCAAAGGTAAATTCCTTAAGGAAAATTCCAAGCTTAAAGGTAAATGCCTAAGGGAAAAAAAAATGGATCCTAAAAAAGAAATGGTTCCTGATCTTTGGAGTGAAAAACTGGGAACCAGTTGGAAAATTCCAGGTTCAAAGGTAAATTCCTTAAGGAAAAAAAAAAGTATTCTAAAAGGAAGAAATAGAAATAAAGGGAAAAAAACCCCAAACTAAATCAGGTTTGGGTTTTTTTTTAGTTTATTTATATTTTGTTAAATTATATCTCGGAACAGAATTCCCGAAAAACTGAGATGTGACTCCCAGAATCAAAAGTCACCACAGAACAGCCAGGTCAGCTCCAAAACCAAACCAAAGCCAGGCCTAAAAATAAACCAGAGCCGAGGGGAAAGACTAAAAACAAACAAAAGGTCCAGACCAAATCCGAGCGCGGCTTTTCCCGGGATATTGGAACAGATGGATCGGTCGAGTCCTTCCCCAGGGGTTGAGAAAACCCAGGGAATGGCGGGAAAAGGCAGCGGGAGCCTTTTCCAGTAAAACCGGGATAAACCCAGCCAGGAAATCCTGGGAATAAACCCCAGCTCCTTTGTGAGGGTGAGACGGAGAAACCCTCGGTGGTGCCGTGGTTTGGATGTACCGGACAAAGCTCCGGATTTTTCCTGGAAAACCAATCCGTTGTCGGGAGGCGGATTTGTGGAAAACCACTAATTATACTAATTATACTAATTATACTGTAATTCTCTCTCGTCTCTCTCAGCCTCTTTTGGGCTGAATTCTCTTGGGATCCTCCCTCGTGGGGAGTCTCACTTATCTCAGTCCTAATTATTCGAAGAAAACTCCCCGGGGCTCATTAAAATGTTAAATAAAATTAAAATTAATATTTAAAATTAAATAAATCATGTTTATTAGAAGTTTTATTAAAAAACTTGGCAGGTCCATCCAGACTTTCTGCACAAGCTCAATTCACCAAAAACTGGCTCATTTCGCTCTGATGGTAAAAAATGGCCCCAAAACACGAGGCTGTTTCACCTTTATTTCTATTTTTACCCATTAACTACCAAAAGTGAATTGTTTTTATTCCTTAACAATTAATTACGTAATTAAAACTGCGACTAACTCTAAACCAATCATTCTTTGTGCTCCTAAAAGCTGCAGAATTATGGAGAAGAAGGGAGAAGGATTAAAAATTACAGCCTTTGTCCTCCGTCTTTACTCCGTGTGTGAAACCCTAGAATAGATTAATATAATATAATATAATATAATATAATATAATATAATATAATATAATATAATATAATTTCTTATTTCTTATTTCTTATTTCTTATTTCTTATTTCTTATTTCATATTTCATATTTCATATTTCATATTTCATATAGATTTTATATATATAAAATCTCTATTTTCACCTCAATGATAAATTTAAAATTTTTCTACTTTCTACTTAATTTTTTATAATTTTTTTGCTTTCTCAGGGATATTTGGAAGCTTTTCTGTCAATATTATATAGGATTGATAAAGAATCTTTTAAAGAATTGAATACAGAAATGTCTCTACATTTCTGGACTCCTACATACACGGCTAGAGGTGATTCCTGATTCCTTCTTATCTCTTCCCCTCCTGTTTTTTCTCCCCTCTCCCGCTGGCTCAGCTCTAATTCGTTGTTTTTTTAGGAGTCTGGGAGCAGGGATTTGTATGGGAAATATTCCTTCTTGGGAGTTTCCAGGAAATCCTAAAGGAAGGAGGGCTCGGAAATCCGGGAGGAGACTCACCTGGCCTCAGTTAGCCATGATGTGCTTCACAAAAGCTGGGAAAAAAGAGGGAAAGAAGGATCAGTTATCCCATGGAAAACATCATTAACCTCTCACCGATGGGGTTCATCAGGAGACTAAATTTAGACTCAAGGTTGGGCTAAAATCTGGAATTCTTGCTCCGTTTTTTCCACGGATTTCAAGATTCTTGGTAATATTTTAAGCTTTCAGGGACCCCAGGCACCTTCGTAGTTGATGCAGCCGTTGGCATCTTCCTGGCCAGCCATCAATTTGTCCACTTCCTCCTCAGTCAGCCTCTCCCCTGTGTGGAAAACAAAAATCCCTGGATCAAAATCCCGGATTTAGGAATTTAGGGATCAAAATTCGGGATCAAAATCCCGGATTTAGGAATTTAGGGATCAAAATTAGGGAAAATTAAGGATCAAAATCCCAGATTTAGGAATTTAGGGATCAAAATTAGGGAAAATTAGGGATCAAAATCCCAGATTTAGGAATTTAGGGATCAAAATTAGGTAAAATTAGGGATCAAAACCCCGGATTTAGGAATTTAGGGATCAAAGATTAGGGAAAATTAGGGATCACAATCCCGGATTTAGGAATTTAGGGATCAAAGATTAGGGAAAATTAGGGATCAAAATCCCAGATTTAGGAATTTAGGGATCAAAATTAGAGAAAATTAGGGATCAAAATCCCAGATTTAGGAATTTAGGGATCAAAATTAGGAAAAATTAGGGATCAAAATCCCAGATTTAGGAATTTAGGGATCAAAGATTAGGGAAAATTAGGGATCAAAATCCTGGATTTAGGAATTTAGGGATCAAAATTAGGGAAAATTAGGGATCAAAATCCCAGATTTAGGAATTTAGGAAGCTCCTGAGGAAGGCAAAAGAGAGGAGAAAGGGGAGGTTTCTCCTTGGGGGGAGTTTGGGGTGCCGACCATGGGAAAAGTTCCTCTTTGAGTTGCAAACTTGATCCAAATTCCAAAGTTGACCCAAATCCGGATGCAAATCTGAGAGTGAATTTGATCCCAAATCCAGAAAGATGGGAAAAATCTGGAAACCCATGGGATATTATGGGGAAAAACTCATTTTCCTAAGAATAAACTTCGTCTGAGTGCCAAATCTTGAAGGTTTGGGTTGGTTTTAACCAAGGCCTGGTGAAAAAACTCTCAGCGAAAACTCAGTTCCCCTCAGAGACTGAGGTTCTGGAAGATTCCAAGGTCAGATTTGGGATCTCAGGCATGGATCAATGATGGATTTCAGGAAATTTCATTTGATGATTGAAATATTTGGATTCTCTGGCTTCGTTTTGGCGAAGTGGAACCAAACCGAGGGAATGGGCGGGGTTGGAAATTTCGGGATCGTTTTACCGTGAAGGGAATGAGATGTTTATCGGAGAAATTAAACACAAAGGGAAAAGAGGGAGGGATGGAAATTCCCAAGGGAAGTTTTTCCTCACCCAACGTGGCCAGGACGTGGCGGAGCTCGGCTCCCATGACCGTCCCGTTCCCCTCCTTGTCGAACACCCGGAGCCCTTCCACGAAATCCTCGTAGGTTCCGGTGTCCTTGGTCTTGGCAATGTGCTGGAGCATGGGCAGGAAGGTCTCAAAGTCGATCATCTTGGAATTCATCTCTGGAAAACACGGGGGAAAAGGGAATGTGGAGGGATTCGGGGAGATTTGGGAATTAAATGTGGGATATCCACCAAGGGGTGGAAGATCTGTGGGGATAAACGTTGGATTAAGGAGGAAAAGAGCCTGGAAATGGAAATTTGGGAGGATTCTGGGAGAGTTGGGAATTAAACCATGGAATATCCACCATGGGGTGGAAGATCTGTGGGGATAAACATTGGATAAAGGGAGAGAAGAGCATGGAAATGGAAATTTGGGAGGATTCTGGGAGAGTTGGGAATTAACCATGGAATATCCACTGTGAGGGAAGAACTGTGGGGATGAATTCCAGGTTAAGGAAGAAAAGAGGGTGGAAATGAAAGTTTGGGAGGGATTCTGGGAGATTTGGGAATTAAACCATGGAAAATCCAGCATGGGGTGGAAGATCTGTGGGGATAAACATTGGATTAAGGGATAGAAGAGCCTGGAAATGGAAGTTTGGGAGGATTCTGGGAGATTTGGGAATTAAACCATGGAATATCCACCATGGGGTGGAAGATCTGTGGGGATAAACGTTGGATAAAGGGAGAGAAGAGCCTGGAAATGGAAGTTTGGGAGGGATTCTGGAAGAGTTGGGAATTAACCATGGAATATCCAGCATGGGGTGGAAGATCTGTGGTGATAAACATTGGATTAAGGGAGAGAAGAGCCTGGAAAGGAAAATTTGGGAGGATTCTGGGAGAGTTGGGAATTAACCATGGAATATCCATGATCACAGAACTGTGGGGATAAAAGTTGGATAAAGGGAGAGAAGAACACGGAAATACGTGGAAAACATGGAATACGGAAGGATATCACTGCAATCTTTACAGAAGTTCCCGCCCCGCTTTTGTGGAACAATCCGTGTCCTTACATCCAGGTTATCCCTTTGTTTCTCTGGAATTGCTGGAAACATCCATGTTTTTTGGAAAAAACTCATTAATTCCTCCATAAATTCAACTTCAAAATGCAAAAATTCATCATTTTAAAACCCATTGATGCCTAGGGCCGTTAAATTAATTAATTCCCTTAGATTTGGGACAATAAACTTGATTTCCAGATCAATTCTTCCTCCCTTTCAGAGGCTGTTCCGTATCCTGAGCTACTCCACACCCAGAAAACGGAAATCTTCTCCAGGAATAAATTTGAGATTTCCCTTTCCCAAAACAGACAGAGGAGGTCAGGTTATTAATTGAAATGGATTTTTGATTTATCTTCTTTTGGGATTTTTGACTAAAACCAAAAGATTTTCTCCAGGAATAAATTTAGGATTTCCCTTTCCCAAAACAGACAGAGGAGGCCAGGTTATTAATTGAAATGGATTTTTGATTTATCTTGTTGTAAAAGAACTGTTCAGAAAGAACTGTTCATAAAATTTCCAGTATTTATATAATTTTTTAAGCTTTTTTTTCAAAAATTTAAGATTTATAAGGTTTTTATACTTCTGAGGCGTAGCCTCTGCTCCCCCCCTTTTTTCCTGTAAATAAATGTAACATATTTAGTTTTTTTGTTATGAACTTGAAAAATCATTAAAATACATGCAGCAAATAATACTTTCACAGCAGTCCAGGCCTTATTAAGATGCATAATTAACATTATAGGAGATTAAAATTAATTAAATCACCTGTAATATGAATTACTGAATGTACAAAATATATTCTTATCCCAGAGCTGATAAATCGGTGACCAACCTTCAGGTTTGGGTCTGCCAAGCAATTTCATGACCTCGGCCTGGGTCGGGTTCTGCCCCAAAGCCCTCAGGACGTCTCCACACTGGGCGTAGGTGATTTTCATCTCCGACTTGGGGGTCCGATCGAAGAGGGAAAACGCTTCCTTAAATTCTGGAGGGGAAAAAAGGTCAGGAGAAATTCATTCCACGCTCCCCGGGATGGAGATAAATACCGTCAGGATTTTTCTCTCAGCGACCGCCTTGACCGTTTGGTTTTGCGGTTTGGGAAAAATTTGGATGAGTTTTGTTATCTCCGATGTTTGCGTTCCTCCTTCCTTGGGTTTTCCGGTTCCACCGGGGAATGGAATCGGAGAGGTCAAAATGTTTCTCCCGTGGTATTTCCGTCTCAGTTAACATCGGAAAGTGTGGAAAACAGGAGCAATCAGCCTTGGGAGCTTTCCAGCTCCTCAGGAAGGGCCAGGATTCAACAGCAGCTCTGCTCATCCGGGGAAGTGGATCTTGGATAAAAGATTGGATACTTCGAGAGCACTGAGCCAGTGCCTGGAGCTCCAGGAGCACCTCAAGGAGCTGGAAATGAGAGATGCCAGGAAAAAATACCAGGATTGTCACCCAACAAGCAGTGAATTGGTGGGGGAGGGTGAAGGTGTGTGGAAAACCTGAGCCCAGAATTCCAGAATTCCAGAACGGCTCAGGTTGGAAGGGACCAGAGTGGATCCTGCTCCAGCAGGGCCGTCCCAGAGCACGGGGCTCAGGATGACATCCCGATAACTCTGGAATATCCCCAATCAGGGAGACTCCACAGCCTCTCTGGGCTCTGCTCAGGGCTGGGCACTGCCCAGGGCACAAGTTCTGCCTCCTGTGCCGGGGGAATTCCTGGGATCGGTCCCTGCCCGTTCCTCTGGTGCCATTGCTGGGCCTGGAGCAGAACCTGGGCCTGCTCTGACCCTCCCTGCACCCAGGGACCCCCAGGGACACTCAGGGACAGACAGGGACACTCAGGAACAGACAGGGACACTCAGGGACAGACAGGGACAGACAGGGACACTCGGGGACAGCCAGGGATACCCAGGGACCCCCAGGGACAGTCAGGGATACCCAGGGACACTCAGGGACACCCAGGGACCCCCAGGGCTGAGGGTCCCTCTCAGCTGTGTCTCCTCTCCAGGCTGAGCAGCCCCAGCTCCCTCAGCCTCTCCTGGGCACGGAGACGCTCCAGGCCCTTCCTGAGCTCCAGGAGCTCCTGTCCCTGCTGTGCTGAGGAGCCAGGGCTGGACACCCCAGAGGCACCTCCAGGGTGGGATCCAGAGAACGGGATTTGTTTTTCCCTCAGGAAGTGGGACCAGGATGGATCTCCTGCATGGAGCTGGAAAAATTCCCTTCAGAGGTTTCCCACCTCCCCAGATGGAGTCCCTCACTGCTGTGAGGAACAGGATCCCGGTGGAGCATTCCCATGGGACAGGTTCTCCTTCCCACCACTGATTTCACACGGATGTGGTGCTTGAGGACATCGGATGTTGGACCTGGCAGTGTTGGGATCAGTGCTATTAAGGATCTTTTCCAAACAGAACAATTCCGTGATTCTCATGGAGTCAGTGCAGGATCCAGCACAGACTTCCCCACACACTCCGACTCCTCCAGCTCTCCTTTCCCTGCTGGAATTGCAGGGTCAGAGGAGCATCCCAGGGAGCTGCAGCAATAGGCTGGTGTCCTTTAACTTCATCCTTTATCCTTTAACTTCATCCCTTATCCTTTAACTTCATCCTTTATCCTTTATCCTTTATCCTTTATCCTTTATCCTTTATCCTTTATCCTTTATCATTTATCCATTATCATTTATCCTTTATCCTTTATCCTTTATCCTTTATCCTTTATCATTTATACTTTAACTTCATCCTTTATCCTTTATCCTTTATCCTTTATCCTTTAAAATTTATCCTTTATCATTTATCCTTTAACTTCATCCTTTATCCTTTATCCTTTATCCATTATCATTTATCATTTATCATTTATCCTTTAACTTCAGCCTTTATCCTTTAACTTTATCCTTTATCCATTATCCTTTATCCTTTATCCTTTATCCTTTATCCTTTATCCTTTATCCTTTATCCTTTATCATTTATCCATTATCATTTATCCTTTATCCTTTAACTTTATCCTTTATCCTTTATTCTTTATCCTATATTCTTTATCCTTTATTCTTTATCCTTTATCCTTTATCCTTTATCATTTATCCTTTATCTTTTATCCCTTATCCTTTATCATTTATCTTTTGACTTTATCCTTTATCATTTATCCTTTATCCTTTAACTTTATCCTTTATCCTTAAACTTTGTCCTTTATCCTTTAATTTTATCCTTTATCCTTTACCCTTTAACTTCATCCTTTATCCTTTAACTTCATCCTTCATCCTTTATCCTTTATCCTTTAACTTTATCCTTTATCCTTTAATTTTATCCTTTATCCTTTAACTTCCCTGTTATCCTCGACTTCCCAGGGCACCATCCACAGCTGATCACAGAAATCCTTTTGGCTTTAAACCCCTGGATCCGCCTTTATTTCCTTCCCGCTTTTCCAAACTCCAGGATATCGTCCTTTTTTCCCTAAATCCTGATTTATTCCACCATTCATCCACACACTCTGCACCTCGGATTTTCTCCATCTTCCCCAACTCCCTCCCTTCATCCCATCTCATTTTTCCTTTCCTTCTTTCCCTCTGTCCTCCATTCTTTGATTTTCCCTGGATTTTCCTGGATTTTTCCTGGATTCTCCTCTCTCCTTCCCTTTCCATTTTGATCATTCCGCTCCAATTTTCCTCATTTCCTTCCTCATCCAACACCTCCAAACAAGACTGAACTTTCTCATTTGGGACTAATTAACGTTCCCTTGTTTTCTTCTTCCCGCCGCTCTTCTCTTCTCCTCCTGGAATTTTCCTCCCTCTCCTGGATTTTCCCTCCTGTCCCTGGGCAGAGCCCCGATCCTTTTCCAGCCCCTCATTCCAGCAGAGGGCAATCGTGGATTTTCCTGGGATTCTTGCTGTGGAATGGGGGCAGAGATTCCCTTCCCAGCTCCTTTCCTGGTGCTCGCGGGTCAGGAATAAGGGGAAATATTCCCACCTCCCTGAGCTCCTCACCCATCGCCCCCGAGCGCTGAGCACCATCTCCCAAAGATTCCCAATCCAGCAAAATTCCTGTCTCAGGCTCAGATTTCCAAGGGTTTGTTCCTTTTCTTTTTTCCTCCCTCAATTTTAATCTTTTCATTTGCATTTGCTGACTCCACGAAATTCCCGTCCAAGCTCCAAAACCACCTCGGTGTCCTTCGCCCTCCCTCTGGCCAGGAAACCTCGGGAAGGATATTTTCGGATCCCTAATTACTGCCTCTCTGCCCGCCTGGAACAGCTCCCTTTTCCCTCCCTTCCCAGAAATTCCGGGAGCTGGAGAGGCCCAAATCCAGGGATCCGAGAGGACTTTGCAACCAGGGATGGGACACCTAAAAATGGGGGTGGAATTCACCCCAGAGCATCAGTTCTTGTCCTGGAGCAACATTTTGGGGGCAAAAATATCCAGAAATCTTTTCAGGGAATCTTTTTGTACCACACGAGTTTTCCCTTGGGAAAAAAAGAGAAGGAATTTGGGAAGGAATTTGGGAAGGAATTTGGGAAGGGAAGGGAAGGGAAGGGAAGGGAAGGGAAGGGAAGGGAAGGGAAGACCAGGAATATCCAACCCAGAGGATGGGATTCCTTCTGCTTTGGGAAATTGGGAAATCCAACCTTCCTGGAACACCGGGATCCTCCTCGGCTCAGCAGGGAAAGACAAAGGGAGGTGATAATTAAACATCTCTCCTCTCTGATCCATTTAATTAACCTGTTCTAATTAACCCCAATCCCAAGGGTTTAAAGAGCAAAGGCAAATCCTGCCAGATGTTTGATTCCAGCCATCCATTTTCCCATAAAAGCCAGGCTGATTTTTGAGGGAGAAGGGAACAGCTGCAGCCCCAGGGTTCCCAGGGCTTCAGGCAGGAGGTTTTGGGATCAGTTTCTCGAGCTGCCACAAAGGGTTTGGAAATGAATGCCGATGTTTGGGTTTGAAAGGATAAAGAAATTCCACGCCTGGCGTTACGTGCTGGATTCGGGAGAGCTGGAACACATTAAGTTCTGAGGGAAGGCAGGAAAAATTTCCTGAAGGAGAATTGAGGGTTTTCCTTTGAAAATATTGATATCTGTGGGTTTTTCCTGAAGAAAAACCTGTCTTTGGGCTGGGTTGGGGGTGCAGCTGCTGGAAATGGGACACAAATTCCCTGCTTTTCTTTCGGAGGGAAGGATTTTGAGGAGGAGCAGAAGAAAAACCAGGAATTCAAGCTCAGCCTTCCCAAAGTTCTTCCAATATCCCAGCCCTGCTCATCCCAGCATTTCCCAGGGATGGATTTACTGAACCTGGGATAGAAAAATCTTCCTCACCTTCGATCTGGTCGGGGCTGAATTCCACCTAGAAGAGACAAAAACAAGATAAGAGAACTGTTAAGGAGGGAAGAACGATGCAGATAAGGAAAAATCAGTTCCATCTCAGTTTTATGATCCCGGCGGGGTCAGGAGGTCCATGAAGGGTTCACCTCACATTATCCCAGGTTGCTCCAGGCCCTTCCCAGCCTTGGACACTCGCTCACAGGAGAGGTTCAGGTTGGATATTGGGAAAAAATCTTCCCAGCAAAGGTTGTCCAGGCCTGGCCCAGCTGTCCACGGCCATTCCTGGAGGGATTTTAGGGATGTAGCACCTGGGGACAGCGACAGCCTTGGCAGCGCTGGATTAATTCTTGGATCTGACGATCTTCGAGGACTTTTCCACCCTAAATGGATCCGTGACTCCACAGTCCCTCTTTTCCTGGGAAGGACACTAGGATGGCTTCCCTTGGGATTTTGGTTGTGGGAAATATCCCAGCAGAAGAGAAACTGAGTTTTCCCTGGCATTTTTTTCCCGTTGGGAATGAAGGTTTCAAAGCCAGGACATTCCAATCCCAGCCTCCCTCTCCTCAGTGGTGGGGTTTGGTCCAAATCCGTATGGGAGACAGAGAAATTCCCATTTTTTTTGTCCTGCCCTGACGTACAGACAACGCCACACATTCCATGAGGATCCAAATCCAAACCTTTCCATCGGCATGATCCCAGCTTTCCTCATCTCCAGCCTTCAGGGAATCATCACCTGATGGCATCAGCTGCATCCCAATGCCTCCAGATTCTTTCCCTGATTTTTCCCTGGAGGCTCCAGGGGGGATTAACTCCACCTTGGCCCCTCTGACGTCATTCACGGCTTCCAATCTCCTGGAATTTTTCTCGATCCCAATAAACCCCGTCACTCCGTGCCGAGGCTAAGCCTGACATCAGCCCTATTAATAAATCTGTTCTCACCCGGCAGGCGGGAGCGGAGCCGGGGGAAGCGTTTCGACAACCGAGCCTTTCCAAGAGCCAGACAACATTCCTGGTTTTTCATAGGACACTGAGGAATCTGGGGATGAACGGCAGGGATTGGGAGGAAGAGGAGGCATTTCAGAGGGTTTTTCATTGATTTCATTTGTTGAGGGGTTTTTGTGGGGTGTTGTTGTTGTTGTTGTTTTGGGGAGGTTTTCCCCGTTCCCTCGGGTCGCTGCTTCAGGAGACAGAAATGCGGGATTGGGAAGGAGGCCAGGAAAACCATCGGGATCGGGATCCTGAGGTTACATTTGCGTTTCACCGTCGCGTGGTCTTTTTTTTTTTCCTTGCACTAAAACCTTTTTAATCCCATTAATCCACAACATTCCCATCATCCCCTCTCCCATCGCTTTCCACGGGCATTCGAATGGGGATAAAACTCCTCCAGCGTCCTGGGATGAGCACTGATCCAGTCTCCAAGAGCTCCAAAGGAAAAGGGAGCAAAACCAGGAATCAACCCTTAATTCCAGCTTGGATTCCAAGGTGAAATATCTCAGGAATAGAAAAATTGTCAAGGTCACACAGAGGTTGCTGCTGCATAAAAATCCCACAGAATTATTCCTTATTTCCTATCTGCACTTAAAATTCCGGAGGGGAGGGATGGATGGGATATTGGGAAGGAATTCCTGGCTGGGAGGGTGGGGTGGAGCTGGGATGGAATTCCCAGAGCAGCTGTGGCTGGCCCTGGATCCCTGGAAGTGCCCAAGGCCAGGCTGGATGGAACTTGGAGCAGCCTGGGATAATGGGAAATGTCCCTGCCATGGTCGAAGTGGATTGGGATGATCCTTAAGGTCCCTTTTAACCCAGAATTCCTGGGATTCTATCAATTTTCCACAGGGAAATTTTGGTCCCTTTGGAAGTGGGACTGAGAGGGATTCTTTTGGGAATGCTGTACCTTCCAGCGTAGGGAAAGGAGCTCTCCTGTCACCACATTATCCCGTTATCCCATTATCCCATTTATCCCGTTATCCCATTATCCTATTATCCCGTTATCCCATTTATCCCGTTATCCCGTTTATTTCTCGGGACAGTTCCAAGACAAAGGCCGGAATATTTCAAAGAGCTCCTAGAGCTGGATTTTTCAGGAGCCGGAAAAGCCCGAGGATGGAGGGGACTGGCTGGGGCCAGGTAGTTGGAATTATCCCATGGAATTTTTCCATCCCTGGGTTGGGATTTAACGGAATGATTCAATCCATCTCTCCCAAGAAAAACTCCCCCAGATCAATTTGTTCATCCCAAGGGAATGGGATTTTTCCCATCCCCTTTTCCCGGCCTCAGGTGCAGCTCTTCTGCCCGCGGAACGCTCCAAGCTCCGGAGCTGAAATCCAGCAGGATTCACCATTCCGGGTGCCCTCTTTCCCCTGGCTGCTCCCAGTTTTCCCCGGATACTTCTCCATCTTTCCACACAGAAAAAAAAAAAAGGAAAGAAACTTTTCCTTTCCAGGGATTTCCAGGGGCAACAGATTCCACGCAGCCTTGAGATCCCAACGCTCCCCAAAAATAACATTTTCCCCAGGAAAGCATGGAAAACGCGACCATCACGGATAATTCCCTATGGAAAACCACGTCCCTTCCAGGTCTCCACGTGGATTTTTTATCCCAGTCACCAGACCTGGAACAACGTCACCTCATTCCAACTTTAGCCACTGAAATGCCGGCACCCAAATTCCCGAATTCCCGTCTCATCCCCCTTTATCCCAGCTCAGCGTCTCCCAGGGGTGACTCAGTCCACCCGGATACAGGAGTTTGGCACCATCCCAAGGGATGAACTTCCAGGGATTTTCTCCCTGTTCATTATTGAGGATTTCAATCCGGTGATCCCTTTTCCCCTGGTTAAAGGAGCCGTTCCCACTTTCCGTGTCCTTAAAAATCGTAAATCAATTCTGGATTTCAGATTCTTTTTCATGGAAGTGAAATATATTCCTGGGAAAATTAAAGAGCTTCCAGGTGGGAATGACTTAAATGTTTGGAAAAGACAAATTTTTTTTTTGTAACCAAATTTTTTCAGGACAATTTATTCTTCAAAATAAAAAGTTCAGGGATCACCCTAGAAAAACACTTCCTTAAAAAGAAAAAAATCCAAGGAATGAGCCCAGCTCTTCTGGAAAAGGCAGAAACAAATCCCCCAAAATATTTTTGGATGAGCTGCAAACAACATCCAATTGCACCAGCGCTCGGAAATTCGGGAAGCCTTTGGAAAGCCGGAAATTTTGGAGCGTTGGATCAAATCCGACGGGAACGGGCATATTGGAATCGCCAAAAAATTTGGGATGATGGCTTTGGATAAGGGATGGGTCCCACATTTAGGCCCCTGGAATTGGCGTCCCAACTGACACAAAAAACAGACTAAAAAGGAAAAAAAAGAGGAAAAAAATTTGGGAATATCTGAAATAATTCCAGGCGCCAAAGAAAATCCTGGGATTGTTATCAGGACTGGGAGAAGAAGGAATATTCTACAAGCGGCACCTTTCCCTACCCCAGGAATATTTTGATTTTGAGACTTTCCAGGGGTTAAAAAAAAATGTCCCAAAATTCCAAACACGACCAATAAAATCTGGGAATAAATAGAAATCATTTGAGATATTCCCATAAAAAAAAAAAGATGGATTTTGGAACATTTTGTTTGGATGCAATGTTTTTCCAACTTTTTTATCCATTATGGATAAAAACTATGGAAATTATGGAAAAGATGATGGAAATAGAAATGGAATTCATCCTGCAGTGCAGAAATTGGGATATTTGGAGAATTCCAACCCAATTTTCCAAACATTGGGAAGGGATTCGGGACTCCAGCAGAGCTAGATTTATGGAGAAGGAATTTGCATAAACCGACAAGGACATTCCTGATCAAATTAAAGAATTCCCAGGAAAACTTCTCTAGGAAATATCCCCTCCTTTTTCTAAGAGGTCGGGAAAAAAATGCCCCAGACTCCAATCCTGTGTTTCCCAATTTCCCTGATCCAATATTTGGGAATGGGATATTCCCTGCAGAGTTGAAGGGATGCTTTCACAGCGGCACTGGATCAGGATTTGTTTATTATTTGGGAATTCCCGAGGAAATTTTAGCACCTTAAAAACGGGATCAGAACTCCGGAATTTATGGAATATTTCTATTGTACGTAACCTTCATCATTCCAAACGGTGCCAAAGCAGGAAAACCAAAATTTCCATTAAAAAAAAAATAATTTTCCCAAATAATTGCACAGTCATTTTTTAAAATGCAGGAATTGATTTTTTTTTTCCCAGGATAAAAATAAAATTTGCGGAGCGCGGAATTGTTTTGATTAAAAAAGGAAGATTTTTTTTTTTTTTTCTGGGGTGGGATTTTTTTTTTAATGACAGCTCATCCTTGATCCCACAACATCCCAGAATCCCAGTGGATATTCCCACAAAGTCACAGTGTCCCCCCTGTGCCTCCAAGGGAAGTGATTCCCTTCATCACTGTCCTTTTCCAGCTCTGGAATGTTGAGCACAGAGAGAGCTGGATCCTGTCACAAACCTCTTCCCCAAGGTCACAGAATTGCTCTGGGAGCACCAGCTCTGGAGTCATTCCCTTCAAAACTTCCCGGAAACTGAATTCCTTGGGATTTGATTCCTTGATGTGTTACAAATCACTGCTTGTCCCAGCAGGATTTACAGGGAATTTGGGATTCGAGGAAGGAAAAGGCCCTTCCAGTGTTCCCTTTGTCCCAAATCCTGAGCTTGGTCCCACGTGGAAGAGCAGAAGGATTTAACCAATGAGGAGACAAAGCAAAAGATTCCCTGTCTCATGTAATTCCCACGTTTTCCTGAGGGGAAACTGCTTTTTGAGGATCCAGAGATATTTATCCACTGGGGATGTCCAGATTGGAGAAGGGAAGGATCCAGGGAGAGCTCAGAGCCCCTTGCAGGGCCTGAAGGGGCTCCAGGAGAGCTGGAGAGGGACTGGGGACAAGGGATGGAGGGACAGGACACAGGGAACGGCTCCCACTGGTTGGATGGGATATTGGGAATTGGGAATTGCTGGCTGGGATGGACCCCTGGAGCAGCTCCTGTGGCTGCTCCTGGATCCCTGGAAGTGCCCAAGGCCAGGCTGGAGCAGCCTGGGATGGTGGGAATGTCCCTGCCCATGGAATGGGATGGGATTTAAGGTCTGTCCTAATCCAAACCATTCCAGGATTCTGGGATTCCCTGATTCTGGGATTCTCTGCTCCAAATTCTCATGAAAAAGAGATCCTGCAAAGCTGCTCTTCTTTTTCCAGAGGCAGTGCCCTTTTCCAAAGGGCAATTCCCAAGGGACAATTCCCAAGGGACAGTTCCCAAGAGACAATTCCCAAAGGAAAACCCTTTATCCTGAAGGAAAATTCCCAAAGGAAAATTCCCAAAGGACAATTCCCAAAGGAAAACTCTTTTTCCCATGGGACAATTCCCAAAGGACAATTCCCAAAGGACAATTCCCAAGGGACAATTCCCAAAGGAGGACAATTCCCAAGGGACAATTCCCAAAGGAAAACCCTTTATCCTGAAGGACAATTCCCAAAGGACAATTCCCAAAGGAAAACCCTTTTTCCCATGGGACAATTTCCAAAGGACAATTCCCAAGGGACAATTCTCAAAGGAAAACCCTTTTTCCTGAAGGACGATTCCCAAAGGATAGCCCTTTTTCCCAAGGGATAATTCCCAAAGGATGATTCCCAAGGGACAATTCCCAAAGAACAACCCTTTTTCCTAAAGGACAATTCCCAAAGGAAAACCCTTTTTCCCATGGGATAATTCCCAAAGGACAATTCCCAAAGGATTTTTTTCCCAAAGAACATTTCCCAAAGGACAACCCTTTTTCCCAAAGGACAATTCCCAGGGGACAATTCCCAAAGAACAACCCTTTTTACCTAAAGGACAATTCCCAAAGGAAAACCCTTTTTCCCAGGGGACAATTCCCAAAGGACAATTCCCAAAGCACAATGCCACGCTGACATCCTCCCGTGCCTCGCAGCGTTTATCCCTCGCGGGACATTTCCCGTTCGGCACAAACCCATTCCCAGCTGATTTTTCAGGATCCCAATTCCCAGTATCCAGCTCCATCTCCACCTACTTTGACCGAAGCCGGGTTAAATTCCACTTCTTTCTTGGGCTCTGGCTCCGCCGGCTTAGGCGCTGGCTTGGGCTCTTCCTTCTTAGGCTCGGCCTTCTTAGGCTCGGGCTTCTTGGGAGCCATGGCTGATTTGGGAAGGAGAGGCTGGGAAAGGCTGGAAAAGGCTGGGAAAGAGAGGAGCTGCCGCAGGAGAATTCCCGGCCTGGGGTGGGTTTTTATCCCCTCTGGAAGTGCCGCCTTGTCCCTCCCTGAGCCATCACATGCCGGAGCTCACAATGGGGGCACGGCTATAAAAGGACAAGACTGGCCCTGGCTATTTTGGATCCTGCCCTTGGATCCGGCATTGTTCCCAATTAACACTTCCATGGAAAAGAGATTTTGGGGGGGTTTAGGCCGAGCCTGGCGCCGGCTCAAACATTTTTGCCGTGCGGGGACAAGGGGGAGGCTGGGTTACGATCCAGGTGCTCCATTGGCTTTGACCCTGGCCAGGGCCATCCCGTGTGACATTCCCAGCTCCCGAGTGACATTCCCAGCTCCTGAGTGACATTCCCAGCTCCCTTCTCCAGCCTGAATGGCCCCCCTGGCCTTTGTCATGCAAAGATAAGCCCGGGTTTATATTTAGAGCCGGGGATGAGGCTTTAGGGAAGCTCAAGCATCCGCACGGTGTCAGCTGGCGTGGGCAGAATTCCTCCCTCGGATCACACACTGCCCTTCTCCCGGGAAGGGACCCAAAAATCCTGGATTGCTTTGAGGAAAACGCATCCAGGAGCAGGGAAACGGCAGGCAAGAAGGGAAGGGACAACATCCTCAGGGCTGGGATTTTCCAGGCCTTTTTAGGGACTCGAGTGCCAAATTCCTGTCCCAAGGACCGAGATAAGAGCGGCTGTTTGAAGCTTTCCTAATCCCAGACTCGCTCGGATCGGATAACTTGGATTTGCTTCCCCTCAAAGCAAAATGCAGGGAATCATTCCCAGATTTATGTCGCTTTCCCAGGATGTTTCCCATTCCCGGGTCATTTCCCGGCCACTTGCACATTCCTTGGATGATTTTTATTTTCCCAAAACACCTGGAAGGAAGCAGCCACCAAATCCCAGTGTTTCTGGGAGGGGATACGGGCTGGAATTCCAATAAATACCAGTTCAATCACAAATCTCTTGGAATTCCTTTGGATGTCATCCCGGATATCCATGATCCATATCCCTTTAATCTGCTTTTCCCGGATCCGCCCCTGCTCCCCAGATTTCCTTCAAAGCCCCAATGGAAAAGTTTTCCTGCAGGTTTCTCCCATTTTCCCATTATTTTCTCTCCCGACAGGAATTAGGACAGGGAAGTTTCTGGTGATTCCCAAGGGATCCCTGCAAACTCTGCACGCTGGAGATATCCAGAAAAAACAGAACCACGGGATCGCTGAATCCATGGAATGGTTTGGGCTGGAAGGGACCTGGAAATTCCTTTATCCCATGCCAATGGACACCTTCCATTAAAACAAAGTATTCCAGCCTGGCCTGGAAAACTCCCAGGGATTGGGAAAAATAACAGAAATAACAGGAATCATTCCTTGTTTTCATGTCCTGGAAAAGTTTTCCCCTCTAATTCCTGCATTGGAATGAGTCGTGCCTGGAAAATTGGGGGAGCTTTTCCAGATCCCGAGAAATCCCAGGGATTTATTTCACCACGCTCCCTATAAACTCCTCAATCCGCATCTCTGGAATCAGATCCAGGGAATTTCGGATTCTGCTCATTTAGAGCAGCAAAATTCCAGTGAAAATGAATTATTTGGGATCAGCTGCAGCCACAGGGATGGGTTTTACACATTTAAAAAAAGCCACCAGGCCACATTCCCGAATGGAAAACAGCCCTGGAAAACTTCAGGCCATTAAGATGCCAGCAGGATCTCAGCAGCAGCTCGGGATCGTCACCTCCACCTCTGCCAGATAAGAGCCTGGAAAAACCGGGAAAGATGGATTTGCTTTCCCTCCCAAATCCCAAAAATCAGGTTTCCTTTCTCTCCCAAATACCAAAAATCAGGTTTCCCTTCTCTCCCAAATCCCAAAAATAAATCAGGTTTTCCTTCTCTCCCAAATCCCACAAATCAGATTTCTCTTCTGTCCCAAATCTCAAAAATCACATTTTCCTTCTCACCCAAATCTCAAAAATCACATTTCCCTTCTATCCCAAATCCCAAAAATCAGACTTTCCTTCTCTCAAATCCCATAAATAAATCAGATTTTCCTTCTCTCCCAAATCCCCAAAATCAGGTTTTCTTTCTTTCCCAAATCCCAAAAATCAGATTTCCCTTCTCTCCCAAATCCCACAAATCAGATTTTCCTTCTCTCCCAAATCCCAAAAATCAGATTTTCCTTCTTTCCCAAATCCCAAAAATAAATCAGACTTCCCTTCTCTCCCAAATCCCAAAAGTAAATCTGATTTCCCTTCTGTCCCAAATCACAAAAATCAGACTTCCCTCCTCTCCTGAATCCCACAAATCAGATTTCCCTTCTCTCCCAAATCCCAAAAATAAATCGGATTTCCTTTCTCTCCCAAACCAAATAAATCAAATTTCCCTTCTTTCCCAAATCCCAAAAATAAATCCGATTTTCCGTCTCTCCCAAATCCCATAATCAGACTTTCCTCCTCTCCCAAATCCCAAAAATAAATCAGGTTTTCCTTCTCTCCCAAATCCCACAAATCAGATTTCTCTTCTCTCCCAAATCCCAAAAATAAATCTGATTCCACTTCTCTCCCAAATCCCACAAATCAGGTTTTCCTTCTTCTCCAAATCCCAAAATTTAATCAGATTTCCCTTCTGTCCCAAATCACAAAAATCACATTTTCCTTCTATCCCAAATCCCACAAACCAGATTTCCCTTCTCTCCCAAATCCCACAAATCAGCCACACTGTGAGGGTTGGTTTGGGATTTTTTTCCCCCCATCCTCTTTTTTCCTACTAAAAAAGAAATGATAGGAAAGATGGTTGGAAAAAAAGGCTGGAAATCACCTCAGTCAGATTTTCAGGCAAAATTCCGGATTATCCAAGATTTTCTCCTTGATATTTTTATATATTTATGGGAAAGAATATTCTGGAAGCGTCAACATCAAAAAGTTTTTGTATCCTGAGATTTTGTGGGAAGTCACTTCCGCTTGGATTGGAAAATTCCGGATTAAAATTCCGGTTAAATCCTTTGGGATTTGATTTTGTTTCCTCCCGTCTGCTCCTCTCCTAAACCCGGGGCAATTCCATGGATTTTTGGGGAGTTTTTTTGGTGAGGATCTGTGGACGGCCAAAATCCCTGAAGAATTCCAAGATTTCTTAAATTCATTTAAATATCCCAAATCCACCCAAACCGGGGAAGCAGCTGATGGATTTTTAACCCTTGCAGGCACCAAACCTCTGCTGAGAGCAATTCCATGGATTCAAGATATTCCTTGGAAATCCTTCCGCCAAATCTTTTCCTAAATCCTTCATCCATCTCTTGCACGAAGATCCCAGCAGCTCCCAAAAAACCCCAAATCTGCCCCAGAATCCCTTTTTTTCCTGGATTTGGAGCAGAGGGTGGAGATTCCTCCTCAATTTTTCTGTGTCAAGAAGTTATCCCCGAATCCCACGGGAGAAGCCAGGATAGCTGGGAATTGTCTAAAATTCCCTGGATCCTCAGGGTAGGATAAGCTTCTCCAGGACTCAGCGAGACATTTCCCGCAAAACCCAAAAATAAACCCCAAAACCAGCTGGATTTAAGGAGCGGAAAATTAGGATCGAAGTGAAAACAGAACATTCCAAAATCTGGATCCTTAAAATTTGGGAATGCTGCCACACAGTGCCTCGTGATCCTTGATAAGTCTGGACGCTGGAATGTCGGCTGGAATCAGGGAACAACCCAGGTTGGAAATATCTGGAGCCGCATTTCATGGAAAAAAAGGACCTGGATGAGATTTTCTCCCAGTTCCCATCCTTTTCCTGCATTTTTCCACGCTCAGGTAAAGGAGACTGGAGAGGGAATGGGAACTCCCTTTTTCCAAGGATTCCCATGGAATTCCTATGGAATATCGTTGTGGGCGATTAAAATCCCTTTATTTGGGGCCAAAACTCATCAATTTCCAGACTTTTTATTCCTCCCCCCTCTGGAACGTTTTGAGATTTCTGCTCCAAATAAAAATCCAATTAATTTGGGATTTTCAACTCCGATTCTCCCTTCCAAAACATCCCTGGAAGGTCTCCAGACGTCTTTTAACGAGAGCTTGACGCGTCAAAGATGTTCCCATTCCAACCCAAAAATCGTCGCGTGGCTTTTCCCTGCTAAGGAATTCTGCCCTTGGAATTGGGAGATGGCCACAGCTCGAGAGAATAAAAAAAAAAACCACCATTTTTAGAAGATTTATGACCCAAAAATGAGAATTTTTTGGGGCTTCTCCAGGCCCAGATGTTCTTGACAGATGTTGGATGAGGAAAAGCAGCTCCAAGCCCCATCTGCTCCTCACCCTTTTAGCGAAGATCAGTTGAAAACAGCAATTCCAAGCTTTCCAAAATGTGTTTTCCGAGATAATTATGGAAGAAAAAATCAAAGAGGTTTAAAAATAAAGGAAAACTATTTAGGAGGGAAAAAAAAAAATAAATAAATAAAAAAAGAAAAGAAAAGAAAAGAAAAGAGAAATTCCAAAAAAAATAAAGAAAAAAGGAAATCCAGATGGGGAATTTAAAACAAATTTCAATTTCTCTCCCAATTTTTTTGCCGGATCTTCCCAGTTTTTCCATCCCTTCCTCAACGCCAGGGTGGTTCAAACAGGATAAGAAGGGAAAGTGTTGGATCCACATGGAAAAAAGGATGAGGTGGGACCATGAGAGGGGGTTGGGAGGCACAGAAATCAAGGGAAAAATAGGAATTCCTGCTCCCGAATTCCACAGGGTGCTTGACCAATTTTATCCCTTTTTTCCTACAGGAATTTCAGCTCCCAAAAAAACCAATATCCAATTCTTGCCTTTGGCCCAACTCTTCAGCTGCTCTAAATCAGCCACTTCCAAAACTTCCAGGGAAAAAAGCTGATTTATCCCAGCTGCGGATACAGAGCGGGATTGGGAATCACCTGGCACAATCCATCCGTTCCTTCCCAACCTCTGGGATCGGGAATCACCCGGCACAATCCATCCGTCCCTTCCCAACCTCTGGGATCGGGAATCATCCGACACAATCCATCCGTTCCTT